CTCAGGCAATCCTCTCACCTCAGCCTCCCAAAGTGCTGGGATTACGGGCTGAGCCACCGAACCCGGCTGAGAGGTTTTTTCTTATATAATAGTCCTAGAGTATGCCGCTGGTGAAACCAGAGGCTACATCCAGCAGCCTGAGACATTGTTCATCCACCAATGTTGTACATGTATGAAAATGGTGTACATGTATGAAAATGGTGTACATTCCCTGTGCTTTGTATTGGAGAGTACAATAATGTAAATTCTAAAAGCACCACTATTTTAGCATAATAAAAGAAAGTCCAACAAGCTCCTATTAAAAAAAAAAAAGTTGGTTAGATCTTGGGTGAGGGGCTGTATAGCAAGAAAGAGAATGACCACCTAGAGCAGACAAGGGCTAGAAACTTTGGACAATAAAGAAGTAAAAAGCGAGAAGAAAAAGGAAAAAGAGAAGATTTGGACAATACATTAGTTTTCTGCTTCTTTGTAACAAATTACCGAAAATGTAGTACCTTAAAACAACATACATCTCTTAACTATCAGTTCCCATGAGTTAGGAGTTGGGCATGGCTGAGCTGGGTTCTTTGCTCTGAGTCTCACAATTCTGAAATCAAAGTGTCAGCTGGACGGCATTCCTTTCTAGAGCTCTAGGTTCTCTTTTAAATTCATATGGCTGTTAACAGAGTTAAGTGTCTTGTGTTTGTAGGACTAAGGCCCCTGTTTTCTTGCTGGCTGTCAGTAGGGGCTGTTCTCAGCTCCTAGAGGCCCCCATAGTTCACTGCCATGTGGCCCTCTCACAACTTGGTCACTTACTTCTTCAAAACCAGCAAAAGAAACTCACTCTCCCTCCAGTTTGTAAAATGGAAGCTTAAATAATACAATGACAGTAGTGACTGACTATTCCATCATACTCACAGGTCCCACCCACATTCTAGGGGAGAGAATTATAGAGGAGATATACACCAGGAGACAGGAATCTTGGGAACCATCTTAGAATCTGTCTACCACAATTTTCCCTCTGGCCTCCAATGACTCATATTCCTCTTACATTCAAAATACATTTACCCCATCTGCTATAGGTTGAATTGTGTCCCTTCAAAATGAGAAAATTAGAATGAACTATGTGGTGCTGGATTGGGATTGGAGGTATCAATTTACAGTATATATAGAGAGATATAGAAATAAATATTGATGTGTGTATATATATATGTATATATATATTTCTTAGCTATGTCCACTGAGAAACTCTGGGAGCAGCGACACCTCAATAGTAATAACCACACCTATTGCCCAGATACTGGCTTCTAAATATAGTTGTCCACTTAAAGGAATTAGGGCTTCTAGGATTCCTTGGAAAAATGTCTGAGTTCAAGACATTTTCTGTCTGGGGGCAGAGAAAGTATAAAATGAGCCTATAATAATTTTTTTTTCTTGAAGGCAAAAAGTACTCAAAGAATGATAAGACTATATTAAAAGCACACAACACCAGCTTGAGAGGCTTCCAATAGCTAAACTGAGGACAACTTGCATACCAAAACAAATAATGATAGTAGCAGATTATAATTCATTGACTAAAATGGGAACCCATGAGCCCATGCAGATATAACACAATACATAAATAAAGTAAAAGTTTGTTAAGGAATAGGCTAGATTCAGAGCTTCAACATTTTTTTCCACACAAAATATTCATTAATTACAAAGAGAAGAGAAATAACTCGAAACTGAAGAAGCCTAGCAGGCATCATCCTAATAAAGCAACCTGTTAAGTCGAGGTGTTAAGTCAGTGCCATGAGTAGGCAAAGATTTGCACAAAAAAATAAACAAGTAGAAGAGTTTATTCACTTTCCAAGGGAGGAAAGGGGTCAATGCTTCCTTTAAGAAGCATTGGCCCTAAATGCTTAGGGTTAGGGGTTTCTAAGGTTTTCTTCAGGAAGGCAGCAAACATTCTCGGGTGAGATAACAGAAGAGCTGGCTTCATGGTAACAATTTGTTTTTCCCATCTCCAGTGACCAGAGTTATAGGTGGTTAGTCAGTAAACAAGGGGCTTGACCAATAGCTGGAAGACAAATTCTTGGAACAAAGATTTTAATTTTAATGTCCTGTGGCCAAGTAGGGGACTTGGGGAAACTGGTTGTTCTTCCAGTTAATGATTATTGCCATGTATTCTACACTGGTCTAAGTACGTGAGCCAGTGTGAGACCTGCTCAAGATGACCAAGACAACTCCATTTTGACTTTGTCCTTTCATTCCCTCCCCTGGCTGTTTTAAAATATTCTTATAAAATACTGGAGAATTTGGACAATGGTCTGTCTTCTGTAGCTTCTTCCTGCTGAATCAGGGCATAGAGATGTGCCTACCTGCCTAATGTGAGAGGAAGGGATGAGGGGAAAGGAACCAATGGAGTAGCAGACATTGGAGTACTTTTAGCATCTGCACATCATTACGTGAAAGTGTATACTAGTAGAATTAACAATATAATAAGGCCACTATTGTTGCTGTCAAAGTGTTGGACAGTTGAATGTGGTTTTGCAATGACAGGTGTTTGGACTATATGTTCTAATTTGTTAACATACTTAGAATGTTGTATTGTAGGACTTCTGCGGTTGTATAGCAGATATTATCTACCACTCTGCAGAGCCCACCCACCTTGGCTGGTAAGAAGTTTAGTGCCATGCAATTGACCATTATGTACTGTCTAATTTTGCCCTCCTTCTGGTTAAGGAGTACCAGAGCATGTATACAACTACATAGTGATCACCACGTATTCAAGCTTTGATGTCTGGTAGAATATACTTGTCCATTTTTACTAAAGGCAAATTATAGTAGGACCAGTTTACTTGCAAAGTATGTTTTAGACTTAATATATTTTATTTGCATAAAGTGGAAGAAGATTATTTGCCATTTAAGCCTTTTTAAATTGCTTCATTGAAACTTCTTTCATAAACAGCTGGTTTTGAAATATTATTTCTGTTAAAGCCTTAGTAAAACAACCAGTGTGTCCAATCACATTTTGTTATAGAAGAAAACAGATTCTTACTGAACTTATGCAAACAACCATATTGTTATAAATTAATATCTACAAACATTTTTTGCATTTTAGAGAAATTAGAAAGATGCATGTTTTAAATTTTACTTACAAGACTATACTTATTTGTGGAAAAAAAAAACCTGTAAATTGCTCCAAGAAAAAAATTTCTTCTTTTAGCTCTGAAAAATATAACAGAAATAATTAGTAATACTTTAAACAGAAAGGTTATAAAATTATTTGGTGTCTATTAGCTCAGTTTGTGCAATTAACTCTTGCTCTGCTAGTAATTCTATGTTGGATTAGCAATCCTTATGAGTACACAAATTTTTAAATAAGAGTCCTGGAAGGAGATTTTAAAGTTTTTAGCAATTGGTATTGAATAACACTTGCCAGAGTCCTATAGCTGATTATTGGCAAATGCTTAGAAAACAATCTTCCTGACCGACAAGTACCACTACTGGTTTTGACCACTACGGAGACAGTTAAGGAGAAAGGTGTAGGGGGATGTCCCTAGAAACTGAAGCCATTTTTGGTTTTTCTTTTTTTTTTTTTGAGTTGGAGTCTCACTCTGTCACCCAGACTGGAGTGCAGTGGCCGCTCCTGGCCACCGCAGCCTTGACCTGCTGGGCTCTGGCGATCCTTCCGCCTCAGCCTACCAAGTAGCAGGAATTACAGGCATGCGCTACCACGCCCGGCTGATTTTTTGATTTATTGTAGAGATGAGGTCTCGCTGCCCAGGCGGGTCTTGAACCCATGGGCTCAGGCAATCCACTCACCTCAGCCTCCCAAAGGCGCAGGTTTACAGGCTGAGCCACCGAGCCCGGCTCATTTTTGGTTTTTCAAATGACTTTTTGTCTCCTCAAGCAATCATATGTTGATTGGGACAGTTTCTCCTCCTCCCCATGCATCTGACCCTATAAATGAACTTAGGAGCTGCATATTTGTTAATTTTTAATCATAGCTGTAATTTTTTACTTTTTGATTTGATATTAATTTTATATAGATGGTTGATATCACATAATGGGTCATATTAGAATTATACAATTTTTAACACATGCCAATGACACATGAATACAACCTTAAGAGAAAGATAAACACTCTTTTCTGTTTGACAATGCTTTCCTTGTAATTTTTGCAGACCAAATGAGTTAAATGTCTTCTAGGATTTCAGGACCCCTAATACTAAAAATATTTTAGAAGATTAGAAAGACTGAATCGAGAACCTGAAATTTACATGTTGAAAAGTTTGTTAAACATTAGAGGTTTTAAAAACATGATATTATAACATGTGATTATAGGTTACCATAAAATAGCCATTCATTTAACCAAAATGATAACTGAGAAATCTGAAAAGCAAAAACTTATTCCTGATAGAGGAGGTTCATTCTCTTAGGCAGTAAAAAGAAACACAGCAGAAAACCAGTTGAATTTGCCTTTTCTCCCCCCAACTTTTTTGCAGTTTACAAAAACCTTTTATTATTTTTTGAAATTATACAAAAATCTTGCTTAAAAG